ATGGATGGATCCCAAGTTTTTCCTTCCGAGTATTAGCAGTTTTCTCGTTTATTTTGAAAAAGCTTGGTATTATTATTTCTGCAAAAAATGGATTTTGAGTCCTTAGAAATTCATGGAAATACTGTATCTTATAACTTACTATTAAGACATTCGTTTTCAATTGTTTATGGATATATAAGATTTGTATCAACTGGAGTTTCAAATCTGAGTCATAGGTTTTCGGTTTCCGGGCTTCATATGTACCACTGGAGTTTGGGCTTTTAAAATGCGATTCTATTTTTTGGGTTAGTAACTTATTATGATGGGGTAGACTTGCAGGTTTTTTAGGTTTTTAAAAAGTGGTTTATTATGGTGGGAAAGCACCTATCCAACACTACATTGAGACAAAAGAAATGGACTGTTGGGATCTAGGGAGATAAGGGGCCTTACCAGAGATAGGCAAGCTTTGTATACTTCCCCTACGGTATATAAATTATATATATTTTTTATCCAATAATTTGATCTGAATGAATGGTTGAGATGGACTCAATTACAAAGTCATGTACATTGTTTTATTTTTTATTTTTTCTATAAAAACTTTGATACCAAATTTTGAGCTTCCACTCCTCTTTCAAACTCGCACCTGCAAAAATATAAAAAAATTATTTTTGATAAAATAAAATGATCAAAATACCCTTGAAATGTGTAGGGGTATTTTGGTCATTTTATTTTAATAGGGATAATTTTTTTAGTATTTTTTAAGTGTGCCCCATTAAGAGTATAGCACATGCTAAATTTCATATTCATATGATTTGTAGAAAAAATTAAAAATAAAATACTCTAAAACATCAGATCTAGATCTAAATCAAATGGTCAATGGTTCACTTTCTCTAAATTGGATGGCTGGATGCGTGGGGAGTAAAACACTTATATACAATAGGGAAGTACATAAATCTTTCCCTTTAGAGATGGGTTAGTTGTAGATTTTTGGACGTGACAATCAAAATATTAAAGGTTTGTTTTTTAAAACCTCCTATGGTTATATCCAACTCAGGTCAGATCTGCAATTGACTTGGATTCTTGGGTCAGGGCTGGATGGATCTGGCTCTTGCATGCCCCAACGGGTTTGGATCTGGGTCCAGTGATCTTGAACCCAGCCAGGTATGGGTTTCGGTCTAGGTCCAAGTCTGGGTCCTCATCGACCGCATATACCATTCCCAATTCTATATAGATCCAATTATTGAGGAGGAAATAAAGAGAAGGTCAGAGGAGGAGATAAAAAGAAGGTCAAAAGGCGTGCAGGGGGATCACTTCTGTCAATAACCCACTTTCAAGTAAGTGGAGAAGGCTAAAAGCTTATATCTTTTGAAAGGAAAATGGTTTGAAAGGATTGCACTCATGATTAATCTAAAATTGGAATTTAAGCATCGCAAAATATTTTCATGATTATCTTGACTTAAACATTATGTTTGTAAAAAAATATATATTTAAAACTCTAAAAATAGTATATCATCTATTTCGCTATCTTCCATATATATATACTTATTTTTTAAATTTTCAATTTTATTTATAATATTAGAAATTGATTTTAAAGCCCTCGTGAGGATTTGGACCGCCAAAAGTGCTCTCCAGTCAAGAATTTATGGTGCGGCTTCATTTTGTTTTCATAAAGGCCAGGCCTCCTAGAAACTTAGATCCTTTTGAAATGGTTCTCTCCCCTATGTGGGCTCAGATTCCAAGTTTCCGACTCTCCCACTATAAACATTCCAAAAGTAGATGCTTTTGCAGGAGTAAATTGTCCATTTAGTCCCTTTCCGATGTAGGAACTCAAATTTTAATCTCATCCTTGAAACCATTCATGTATTTAGAGATCTACTTGAATCATTATTAGAGTTTAAAATTTTAAAATTAGAAATAAAAATATATTTCCAGACCATTTTAATAATTTTTGATATCAAAACTACATTTGCAACCTCATGCAAACCACACCTTTTAACAATCATAAAGTTGAACGAAATTCTCAGATCGAACGGTCGTAGAATTGTATGTATAGCTCTTTGGCATGTAAAAGTAAATATACAATCTGATCCCGCAGGCGTAATCTGTTGGCCCTCGAAAGAATCTATGGTTGCGTTTGTGACTTTGTGGTCTGGTCACTGGTGCCATTGTTCCTTCCCCTCTCTCCCCAGATGTGAATTGCTTGTCTGGAACGCGAACGCACACCTGTGCTACGAAAACCCATTTGCTCAATGTTTAGAGAGAGAGAAACCCAATTGCTCAATGTATTCATTTTAGAGAGAGAGAGATAGAGCATTATCTGTAAAGAGGAGGAGAAGCCATTTGAAGAAAGAGTTGGCAAAAATGAAGAGGAGGGTGGCGTTTGTTTTGGTAGATGGGATTGGTGATGTTTCATTGCCTCAATTTGGGCACAAAACTCCATTGCAAGCCGCACATTTACCCAATTTGGATGCAATATCTTCAGCAGGGGTTAATGGACTCATGGACCCTGTTGAACCAGGTCTTGCTTGTGGCAGTGACACTGCTCATCTCTCTCTTTTGGGTTATGACCCAAGAATCTATTACAGGGGTCGTGGAGCGTTCGAGTCCATGGGTGCTGGCTTGGCCATGTCACCTGGAGATATTGCCTTCAAGGTCAGCATCTTTCTCTCTCTCTCTCTCTCTCTCTCCTTTTAATTTGCTGTTAGTGCTTATAAAAGTGGCGCCTTTTTCTTCTCTGGTATGATTTAGGGGCCTTGTGTAAAATATCCATTATGAGTTGAAGTTGTGGTGCATAGGATGGAATTTCTGGAATTTAGTGAGTTGAAGATTTTGGGTTTGCTATTGTCTCTGTATTGCATTTACTCTCGATCTGTATGTTTATGCATACTTGGTTTTGATCCTACGCTTGCCATTTTCTTTCTCTCTCTCTCTCATTAGCTTATTAAAATGTCTATTTGCTTTTCTGTCACCTCTTCATCTTTGCGTATTTGCTTCTGTCACCTCTTCATCTATGCGTATTTGCTTTTCTGTCACCTCTTCATCTTGGGCTTGGTTAATACCGGTGAAATGGATATTTGTTTGTGATCCAAAAGAAAATGGAGGTTTTATTATTGTTATTCTTGTGGTTAGTTTCACTTTCTTAATAAAATCTTTTTTACTTATAAAAAAACAAATAATTATTGCTCTTGTTGCCTAGGTATGTGGGGGCATATGGAAAGAAGATCATTCATCAAATTTTTAGAAACAGGGAATTTGGAAGGAGATCGATGAATTATTACCCATTATATTCTAGTTTTGAGGAGAAATGTGGAGATCTTCTCAACTTGGACTAAAGGATAAATTTTTAGATAAAACTGAAGACTAAATAATTTTTCATGGATGGAAGCATTATATTGTTAATGTGCACAGCCATAAAGAAGTAATAAATGAATGGATTTAAGTTTCACGGGTGTCTTGTTCCTTTAAACTTAACTATCTCAATTTCTTTCTTTTCTTTATTGGCTATGGGTACTCTTGCTTCTATAAAGTTGATGAATAGCAAGCATAACTGGTCTTAAATATTAAACCCATTGGATGGACTGGATTGGTTAAATTTGGAGAATATCATTTGAGCAAGGTTTGTGCAACCTTTTCTCAAAGGTGCACTTAATAGATCAAAGTGACCACCACAAGTGCCATCATCCAGCCCGATTTTCCTTTTGGACTTCCAACTCTATCCATAAAACTTATCAGGCTTCTAACAATTTCATCATAAGCCACAATAAACTTCATAATCATACTCTTAAAACCATGGTTCTCCGTGTAGCCTCTAGGGCCTCTGATATCTAAGCTTTCTTTAAGAACACAAGGACAAGCCACTCCCTCTCTCTATATAGGTGATAGCATCTGCTTGAACTATCTCACCATTCACTAGGGCAATAAATTGCCCAATATTTTTGGTCCTATTTAACTAAACATGGAGCCTTTGAACTGTCCTTATAAGGTCACTAATAGTACAAAGATGGATCATTGTAGGTCACCTTTTAAGAAAGGCATCTTTCAATTCATCTATGATGACAGTCTGCCCTTTTTCATCTCCATTTTTCAAGGAGGCTTTAGAACAAGCAGTCTCTTTCCTATGTGAGCTCCCCCTCAACTTCCAATGATTCAATTGATTTATCTGTCGTACATACACAATTTATTCAACACCTCAAGTTCTCATCTCGTGTCATTGCTTCAATGGTCTGAGCAGCCAAAGAGTGATATATATCAGTTAGTTACTTGCCATTCCATATCAGTTTTGTATGCGTGCATGTGATTATATATTGGGTGCATAAGTATTTACTCTTGGTACCTAGTTGGAGAAACTTTAATTTGACCATAAGGATTGAATTCTTTTTCTTTATTATTTTAGAACCACTCTTCTTGCTAGTAGTACCGTTTTTTACTTCGGACCATTTTACCAAGAGGCTTCCAAGTTGTTATCCTCACTCTAACTCCATATATATCTGAAGCATAGTTTCAAAAAGCACTAGGTGGGTCCTGGGCGACCTGGGCGCCCAGCGCCTAGAACCTGGGCGGCCTGGGCCCCAGCGCCTAGAACCTGGGCGGCCTAGTTGAATCCAAATAATGATTCTGGCATTCTGTAGTTATGTCAGTATCAGTTATATGTATTGCAGTACATAATTCAAATTATACTATATATTATTTAGTATTTAGCACATACTCCATAAGCATAACCATAATCCATAAGTCGGTTCATACTCCATATCCAATTAAAACTTAAAATTTTCAAACTTACTTTGAGTTTGATTGCTCAATCTTCAAACTTCCAGCTCAAAGATGCTTCTAAATACTCAAAATCTTCTAAAAAAACCCCTAATAACTTTGCAAAACATCAAAAAGTAAATATCATACCAATGGGTGATGTTTTGATCAATTTTTGTTAACTTTGAGTAACCCTTCGATCCTAAAAAATTCACCACAATCTACTTTTTTGGGGGCTTTCTCTCTAAATTTGGCTCCAACAAGTTTTAGCTTTCAAATGAACCTAAAACCCTAATTTTTGACCCTTAAAAACAAAAAAAAAAAGATCGAAAATGCCCTCACCGAATGGTTTTTCCGCCCCTGGGCGGGGGCAGGCCTTGGGCGGCCGCCCAGGGATCGACCGCCCAGATTGGCCGCCTAGGCTTGGGCGATGTGCCCAGGCCTTCTTGACCGCCTAGGCAGCTGCCTAGGCGCTGGGCTGTCCGCTTTTTGAATCATTGATCCAAAGCCATTACTTATTTTTATATTCTGAATTTCCTATGTTAAGTAAATTCTTTATTTGTTTTAATCTTCTATTTCAAGTCATCGTTTTGGTAGTTTATATTGTGCCAAGCCCTTGCCATTTTATGGAAATCTTCTTATATGTATGTGTGTTACACGTGCACACACATAGATGGGATTCTAACCTGTTGATACCAGATATGAACTTTCATGTCCATTCTTCTTCTTCTTCTTTTTAATGTTTCTATAATGCATGGTGTGAACTTTGTATGTGAAGTTGTTCTTAGTGGGAGATTATTTGTTCATTTGCACCTAGTGATTAAAAAATTGCCGATCTTGATCCGGAATCACTGATGATCGTGCCGGTTGGCAATTAAATAGTTTATAATATATCATGTACACATTTTATAATATAGAGATGGAATGGCCTAGTTGGCTAGACATGTAGGCATTGAGTCATTGTGGCAAGTTTGAACCCCTAGCATCCCTATTTTCTTTGATGTACCTTCAACCTTTTCTTATTTTAACATTAACTTCCACATTTTTTTTATTAGCATACAACAAAGGAAGTGTGGCAGGAGGATTTGCACCTCCATAGTTTGGGCCGCAATCAGACTCTCTAGCCCCCACGGCAAGCACTTTAAAACACATATATTATATATTATATTATTATTTATTTGTTTTTTTGGTCTTTTTTTTGTCGGATCTCAAATCTGGACGATCTTGATTGGAATCGGTGGGTGGACGATCCACCTTTCTGTTTTTTAAACCACTGTTTACACCTAATAACACTATGATTATGTAGTTCTGTCATCATCTACACAGGAATGAAGTGGTACCTTGGTAATTTCTGGCCCATGCAAATAGTTGTGGAAACATTTTCATGGATCAATCATCTATGTTACAAATGCTGGTGCTATCGCACTGATATTACTAAAAATTTTGTTGGGTGGAATGACCAATTTGCCATATCTAAACGCAACTTGATATAGTGAGGGTGGGACGCCTTTGGTCTCGCAAACATATTTTTTATTTGCCATTCACAATTTATAGCAGTCGTTGCGTCTTATGTATGATGGAACATGTTTCATGTCCTAATTTTATTTAACCCTCCGTACATTTTGCACTGCAGTCAAATTTTGCTACTTTGGATGAGACCACGGACATCGTGACAAGTAGACGAGCAGATAGACATTTTGAGGAAGAGGGACCAGTACTTTGTGCAGCCTTGGATGGAATGAAGTTACCATCTTTTACTGAATATGAAATCCGAGTCAGGTACAGAATGAGCATTTGTCATATTTCAATTTGGCATTTCCTGACGTTGGTTTTTTTGGCTCCAATATTTATGTAAGTTCTATTTGTAAGAAATTAAATGTTTTTTTTTATAAAAAAAAATGAATATTTGGAGGTGCTATTTGTAAGAAATTAAAGGTTTTTTTTTTAAAAAAAATGAATATTTGGAGGTGCTATTTGTAAGAAATTAAAGGTTTTTTTTTTTTAAAAAAATGAATATTTGAAGGTGCTATACTGATTTTCTGCTCTTTTTTAATAATACATAATCATGGACATCAGTAAGATGGTCCAAAAGCTTTATTTCTAGAATACGATGAGAGATTAACAAAATTTATCCATGATTGCAGATATGCCACAGAACATAGATGTGGAGTGGTTGTTAAAGGGCCCAAATTGAGTGGAAATATATCTGGCACTGATCCCTTAAAGGACAACCGGTTGTTATTAAAAGTGACTCCTCTGGACGACACACAGGAAGCAAAGAATACTGCTGCTGTTGTCAATGAACTATCCCAGGAGATATCACGTATTTTGGTTTCTCACCCACTGAATGCAAAACGGGCCTCAGAAGGAAAGAGCATCGCAAATGTAGTCCTCTTACGTGGTTGTGGAATTCGAATTGAGGTCAATATATTTTGGCTTTTCTGAAACTTTAATGTCGAGATTTTCTGCAGGTTTTCAAATGGTACATAATCCATACCTTTGAATGTTATACATAACGGGCACTTACCAAGTATTCAAATGTTTGCTTTTGCCTGTTTACAAATGGTCATTCCCCTGACCATCTTTGGATTAGGACACATGGGGATCCCGAGTTTTTTATAGGTCCCAGTGTGTAGTGTTCCAAAACACCCATCTATTTAAAAAGGAAGAGGCACCTACCACTGATTCTTTTCAATGAATTCTTGCCAAGGAAAGGCTTTGTTGGAGTTGGTGTAAGTTATTTGTTATTCTGGATGGTCCTTTCAATATATTTATTTCTATAGTGATATTTTCCAAAATGTTGTCAAAGTGCCATGTTTCTTGGAAATTTTGCATTTATACCTGTCATTCTTGTTTGTAGTGGTCATTATTTTCATTTTCTATGCACTGAGGTTTGGTTGTAACATAGTAAGATGTCATTATATAGCCTCCAATTACGAAAAGTCTGAATTATATTAGAACTTTTCTGAATGAACCTTTTGAATATGTGGCAAACTGCTGGGGATCCTTTATTGTTGCCATAAAGCAATGTCAAGATAGGAACAAAAAGTTCTAATCCATAGTTTTGAAACAAAATCAAACTCCTAAATTTTTATCCAACTAGACATGGTTGTAACCCCTGTGGAATACTCACATTATGTAATTGGGAAATGGTTGATAGAATGTGGTTTATCCATATTTAACAAATACTGTGAGCTCCTATGCAAGGTGTTCCTCATCATGTTGATCGTTTACCTGCATAGTTCATTGATAGCCTTTAGAGGAAATCGTAAACCATAGTTACTGCTTATTAGTACTGATATATGCCATAGAGGGTGGGAGACATATATTGTTTTGGAAATTGATTGGATGAAATTTCTCAAAAATAGGGAGACCTTGATAAATTTTCCCTGCTTCATGAGGAACAATGCATGCCTAGAAACTCCTTCCTTTTTGTGGGAAACTTGTCTTGGAAAGAAGGTTAAGCATAGCTACGGGTGTGGCTACCTGTCAGTTTATACTGCAGATATGTGCTTGTCCCTAACCAATATGAAACAAATACATAATGCAAAATGCAAACACCCACCTCTCCATTCTCCTCCCAAAGGTTGCCCCTCAATGTGGTTAAAAATCAAATAGAAACAAGAAAGTAATAAGTGTAGGAAAATCATTAAAGAAGATACTAACAAAATAATCATTAAAGGAGATAAAATCATAAAATATTGTTAAAGTCATAATACACATATGGATACAATACTTGCACAGAGATAATATATTATGTTATATTGTGTGCCTAGTTTTTTTTTTTTAATGTTCATTATGTTACCACAAAAATTTGGATGTGAAATCCATGAATTGTAAACACCTAATCTTAAACAAGAAATGTCTGAAAACTTAATAAAATTTGAAAAGAAGTCATGAAAGGTAGAGAAATAAATTATAAATATGAAAAAAGGTAAAGATTGATTATTATTATACATGTGCGGCCTTGCGTGCATACTTGCATGAACTCTCATGCATGTGTAGAAAAAAAAAGATTAAGAGCTTTAGCATTACTGATTGCCAGGAAAAGAACTTTACACTAAGATGGTCGAAAAAGAAAAGAAAATTCAAATTAAAAAGCAAATAATTTGTGGTATACATATGAGATTATCTATGAAAACAAAATGCATACATATGAAATTTGTATACTGCCCCAGAAAAACGATTGCCTCACCCTGCAGGGAAGTTTGAGAGGTTTATCTTTTGTTTGTAGACACTTTATCTTCCAGTTAATTAATTTATGTTTTTCAATTATTCTTCTTTCCCTATAATTTGTAGTTTAGTCTAAGAAGGGTGAGGACCTTAAACTTTCTCTTAACCTGTCTCATGCCCGAGTAAAGGGGCTAGGTTGTGTTAGGTAGGCAGCCAACGTAAAACTTTGCCAAAACTTATCATGAATCCTGAACACTATAATTTGTGGTTATTTCCTTCTTTTTGCTGCCTAGTTTGATGTGATATTATTCTGATTGATTGAATCGTTGAACTGCTGATTCGCTAAGTTCGTGGGATCGGATGCAAAATTCACCTCTGTAAATCTCTTTGAAAAAAGATTTTGCCTGATTGATTGCACCGCAACTATCTTTAGTTTGTTTCTCTAACAAATTAATGTGATGATAAATTATGAATTGATGATATTGTCATGTTAATGAAAATATGTTTTTGACAAATGGTAATCAGCTTATTAGATAATATAAAATTACTTAATTTTGATAGATAAACAATGTATCTTATAGCCTTTTGGCCGAACGCTAAATCAATCTACCAAGCAGTAAGCACTCGGCCTTTCCTAGAGCTTGAAGACTTGCTTACCACGTCAGAATCAAGACCTCCGAGTTGGCGGGATATCCCTGTAAAGCACCCCCCCTGATGGATTAGACTGAAGATTTTTCCAATGGTATAATAGATATATAATAATAATAAAAAAGATGATGAAAATATGATAAGGGGGGTCATCTCTTGACAGAATTAGCTTGAAACAACTATAATAGAGTCCCAATCACTTCCAGTTTTGGCAACCCAGCCGATCTCAGAATTGGCTTCCTGATGTTTATGTGAGAAGGAACCACGATGTTCTCACAAATCTCAAAGATCTCCATCATAATATGTGCCACTTTCGAAGTGGCTGGCGCTTGAGGCCCATCTGATCTGATCACATTGACGTTGTCCCCTTCCACCAATAAAGGAGACCAACCATTTTGTTCCATGATGCAAAACCCTGTAAGAATGGCGTCTGCCTTCACCATAGTGGAATTGCTTCTGCCTTCACCATGGTAGAATCAGAGAAAAGGCCATGAAAATGTCAATATTGTCCTCCATAGTGATCCCTAAAGAGTCCTCTAGTGCTTGAATGACACCCTTAGAAAACCATCAAATTTCAGCTTTTCAGCTTTTGGTTGTCTTGTCTGTCTTTCTCCCTGGCTAGACTTCACCGATAGGATGAGATTACTTTCCTCCAACGACTTAATGAGTTGTCTTTTTAAGAATGTTGACATCTGAGCAAATCAGTGGCCATGAAATAGCCATTTGACATGGTGTTTTTTCAGGGCATCAAAAGAGGACTTTCATCCCTAGAAGCTTGGTTTTTTCATCTCCCTACTTCCAAAAACTGGCTAAGGAGGAGAGCATGGGAAGAGTCCTACCTCTCTTGGGAAGAGGAAGAAAGCTCCATTTTCATTTGAATCCAGCCACTGATTGAGGCCTTACCCATTGAAATCAGAAAGGCCCGACAGCCAAAGCACTTGCCACGGGGTGGATGGAGAGGTGGTCACTGACTCCTCATTTTCCTTGACATATGTGACATCTATTGAGAATATATACTTGCTGGTTTTGAAGGTGATCGATGGTTAGCAGAGAGATTTGTCAAAATTTTAGAGCTATTATTATTATTATTATTTATTTTTCTTAGGAATAGGAATTGCTTTAGGATAACTTAGGTGGGAGGATTTTTGTGCATGAGTTTTAGCAGGGGCCTGAGTTGTTACCCAGGAATGCCTATCTTTTGGTTTAGGAAATATCCTGTCTTTTAAGATAGGGTGCGGTTTGTATAAAAGCCTAGGCTCTAAGCAATCAAATTAGAGCCTACCTTCAAATAGTGTTGAGAAATGTGGTTTCAATATTGGAATGAAAATCTTTGTGATAGCCTTAAAATATATTTTCATCTTTATTTATAAAGTTTAAAGCTTCAAAAATAGTGTAGATAGACAATCTATGAAACTTGAAAATTGACAGTCCAAAAAAGCATTATAAAATACACTATTTTCAAAACTTGAAATTCATTTTTTTCTCATGGTCATGCATCTTGATATCGAGATGATCAATTTGAGGATATTTGGGCATCAAAACAACCTCTTCTATTGAAATTTTTTAGGTAGGCTCTTATTTGATTGTTTAGAGCCTCAGCTCTATATAAACTTTTCCCTTCAAGATAGGTAGGAATTATCTTTTAGAAAGAGAAGATAATATGAGATGTGGAGAGATAGATGGAGATAGAGACTTACGTGGGAGTTAGAGAGAAAGAGATAAGAGAGAGTTTATTTTTTGTGGGTTATTTTATTTATTTATTTATTTTCTTGTAAGTGTATCTAAAGAGAAGTAGTCCCTCGTTGTAGAAGCAGAGATTGGATTTGAGTAAAGAGTTGGTCTTGTGAAAAGATCTTTTTTTGGGGTGGATTCCCTTGTAGGCTTTGAGAGAAGGTGTATTAACTCAACCCTTTTTATTTTATATTTCTATTTTTCTGGTTTATTATTTCTTCCTGCATCAGTTAGCAAATATTTAAGCATGCTGGCTATTGAAATGCTAATGCTCATGAGCTGGGGCAGGGTCATATTTTGGTAATTGCCGTGTAGAAAGACCAAACTAAAAATCTTCCATTACTCCCCCATATCCAAGCCTTATGTTCCTCATTTGTTCTAGGAAAAGAAAACCCCTCAAGGATGCGTGTGAAGGACTGGTTCCGATCTGCGAGATCCGGATCACAATTTGTATCGATTAAACAAATCGTCGGAATACCCAAAGTGAGGCATTCTCTAATAGCCGTATATTCTTCTTGGTGATCAACGATGATTACAATATCGGGTAACCCCATCATATATTTGATCGCGCCCAGATATGTTTGCAAGTGAGATAATTGTCTGTTCAACATTGCTGATCTCTTTTCGGGAGATGATTAAATCGACCCATCTTTTGTTCTGCTCTCAAGTCCCTGAACTTATGAAGTCCTGTTTCTGTAGTGGACCAATTCTTTGACATACCACCAAGCCATTTTTTATTTACATAATGACACCGAGCCCTTGCAGCTGATGCTACTGAATCAGCTGCTTTATCTTTCGTACCTACTATTAAGAAGTGCTTTCCTATACTTGCTGCATCAAAAAATCAATCGCAGGCTTCTGATAAAGAACGAGCAGTTCTAGTAAGATTTGTAATATGAATACCTTTACGCTTTCCAGAGATATAAGGTGCCATTCTAGGATTCCATTTCCTAGTGCCATGGCCAAAATGAACCCCTGCTTCCATCATCTCTTCCCAATTGATGTCCCAAGAATAATCGTTAAAGTCACTTCTAAATATGTGGCAGTAGACGACGCTAATACCCACCTTTGAGAAGTACTCACAAGCTGGAGCGTGGGGTTGGGAGCCTTTGGAGCACACTAATAAATGATGTTACATTTATTTGTACTAGCTAATGGCCCGCGCATTGCGTGGTGCATGTCCATGTGTCAATTTTTCATTAGTGAAGCATGAAGTGTGTGAATGTCAAACGATTTACATATTACTTTTAATGGATTACTTTATATAGTTCAACAGTTGAACACTTACCTAAAGAAAAAGTTATTTTATGTTCTCTAATAACTTTTATTTAATCTGTAAATTTACTAATAACTTTTATTTAATCTGTAAATTTACTTAAAAATAATTTATTGATTGAAAAGGTTTCACTCCTCATTCCCTGTTGCCTCAGACATTTGAAGTCCATCTCATTTATCTTTGTAAATGAAGCTTAGCATTTTCATTGATCATAACAGTTGCCGTTAGTTGTTTTCTTGACATGGGGCGAACTTCATTCATAGCACTGCATAAGTAGAAAATTATGTTTCCACGGTAAGTTAATCTCATCAATATTTGTTTTTTGTCATGATTTCGCTTAGATGCATGTTGCAGGTTCCAGCATTTGAAGAGAAGCACGGGCTGTGGCCTTGCATGGTAGCCCCAACTAAAATCATTGCAGGGTTAGGGCTGTCTCTAGGAATCGATATTTTGGAAGCACCTGGAGCAACAGGAGATTATCGAACTCTCTTGACTTCAAAAGCTGTAGCTATTGCCAAAGCACTTACTGCTCCTTTGCAATCTCCCCCTCTTGTTTTTGTCCCAGGAGAGGATGATCATAAACCAGGTCGAGCCGATGGCTATGATTTCGGCTTCCTCCACATCAAGGTATTCCTTTTGATTCAAACTCTCTTCCCTCTCTCTCTGTCTCTCACTCAGACACACACACATATTTTCACAAGGGAAATTTGTCAAAAACCCGTAAGAGATGAAGTATTTAACATCTTTCCCAATTGCAACTATTCCAACTCAAGGCCATGTGTTTTTTTTATGGGTGTTTTGAAATTAAATCAAAAGACATGGGTAACGTGTTAAATTGCTCATCTCTTGTGAGGAATTTGCCCTTTTCCCAATCTCGAGTTTTTCCCCCATGTGCCTTTCATATGTTTCGTGCTCAATTCCTTTAGTGTTCTCCTTGCTATTCTTAGTGACACTTGAGTGGACCACTTGCTATTTCATTCGAGTGAATTGTCATACATAATGTCGGGTCCTTCTGTAGAATAAGAAGCATAAATGACCTCCCTAAATCGCTTTTATATCACTAAATATGACAATCAAAGTATCCTCCACTGTATTCAAGGATCTATGCTCTGTTATCAACCAAATGTAAACCACTTTGTATTCTTGTTCTTTGAGAACCTTCGTGATTTAGCGACCACCTTTCTGACCACTAGATCATCCATAGAAAGCCAATAACATTGTAGATCCGTACTGGACTTCCTCAGTAGGTTCCAATGCCGGAAGACATTCAGTTATAATAAGATCCAGTTTTATATGCACACTATTGGTCGAACAAGACATAATATTTTCATATTTGCCACTGAATGTGGAACGTTTTCATAGTCCACTCATCTGTTGTAGAAGAAATAAACTCCCACAAGGTATTCATAATGAGAGGGAACGATTTTGTTCATTTCTTCTTAATTCAATGAGACATGATTTCTCGAATTGTGCTGAGTTCTTACTGGAAACTATGAGGTGGCATGTTGCAGTACAAGGATTGACTGCATGACAATGGTTAAATCAATTCTCCCTACAGTTGCTACCTTCCGGCTTCCTCTGGTAGTATAGTTCATGAATACTGTCCTTGGTCTCCTTGGTTAGGAAATACTGTTTGTTATGAATATGTGAGATTTCCTTGTTTTCACTCTATAGTCCAACTGTGCAGGCGATAGACGACGCAGGCCATGACAAGGCAAGCCAGTTCAAGGCTCGAGCCATGGAAGTGGTCGACAAAGCCATTGGTCAGCTTGTCCGTCTTCTTTGGGAAGCCCAAAGAAAGGGTCACTGTTCATACTCTCTGTGTGTAACCGGTGACCACTCCACACCAGTTGAGTATGGAGACCACAGCTTCGAGCCTGTGCCCTTCTCTCTATGCAAGCTTGAGGATTTTGTGGATGCAAGGGGTGGTGAGGCTGTAGTTATGGGAGCTTCACTTGACCCATTTCCTCTCCCTTCAGTTGAAAGCTGTGTAGGTGGTAGGGAGAGAGAGTTCACTGTGGAGAAGAGAGAGAATGAGGTCAGGGCTTATGGGGGTGATTCTGTCAGTGAGTTTAGTGAGATTGCAGCAGCTAGGGGGTGTTTGGGACGTTTTCATGGGAGTGAGATGATGGGGATCATAAAGAGGCACCTCCAACATTGATACGTGTGTGTGTGAGAGAGAGAGAGAGAGAGAGAGAGTTGAAAAGAAAATAGGCGCTTTGAGGGGGAGAGACCAATTTCGAGAGGGAGATACTAATTGTATGTCCTTGCTTTGGTTAATGATATGAGAAATCGTTAAGCGGTAGTAGCTTTGCTACAGTGTACTCATGCGGAGTAAATCGCAAGGTCCCTCGAGGAAAACACCTCCTAAGAGGATTTGATCGGAAATTTAGGAATCACTTTGAGATACCATATGAGTAATTTCAAAAAAGAAAAATGATTAAAATTTTTAGTTCCTAAAAGATCATCCAAAGCCTGGATTATTTGTGCTCATTTCTCAGGGTGAATTTTTCTTTGCTTTTTGAAAGTAAGCAACTGATGACTTATTCACAAGAATAGATTCTCCTATAGGTTGAGGTTTGTATAAGGTGCCCACACTATGCTATGCAAGTAAGTTTTAAATTTTGTCAGAATATGTAGTTCTGATATTGGAAACTATATGGTGATAAAAAAAATGTATGGTCATCCTTAATTATGGAATTTATAATTTTAAATATAGTATAGATCAAGTAGATCAATAATCACTTGAAAATCTTAAAAGTAAACGGTCCAAATAAGTTACAAGATATATTATTATGGGGTTGCAATTTTTTTTTTTTTTTTTTTTCAATATCTACAGGTTGAGATAATCAATAGCAAGATTTTCCAACTTCTTATAATAATAAAAAAAAAAAAACAGATTTTCCAACTTCTGAACGCTCTTTTCTATTGGATTCTTGTGATGCACTTTACTACTATAAGACTGCAACTTGCCACCTTATATAATAATTTTCCTTTCATGATCCTACATTCACTTTACTACCATAAGGCTGCAACTTGCCACCTTATATAATAATTTTCCTTTCATGATCCTACATTTTCCTGTATGGTCTTCTTGCATGTAGAAGCCCATGTGTGTATTTTAAAATCAATTTCTAGGATGCTCTTTCTTGGAAATGTACAATGCTTAATGATTTCTAGCAATGGATACTCAAATTGGGGAGAAATCCTTGTGCCATCCCCGACCTGAATAGTATTGATATTTAAATATTAAATAAATATAAATATATATCTTTAGTTATAATATTTAAATAAGGCAAAATTTTATATAGAGCTGAGGCTCTAACCAATCAAATTAGAGCCTACCTAAAAATTTTTGACATCAAGATGCATGGATGTAAGAAAAAAATGGATTTTAAGATTTAGAAATAGTGTATTTTGTAATGTATTTTTTGGACCGTCAATTTTCAAGATTTTCAAATTGTCATAGATTTGTCGATCGACACTATTTTTGAAGCTTAAACTTTATAAATAAAGATGAAAATATATTTTAAGGCTTTCACAAAGATTTCCAGTGTTGAAACCACATTTCTGAACACCATTTGAAGGTAGGCTCTAATTGATTGTTTAGAGCCTAGGCTCTATACAAACCACACCCTTTAATTAATGCATGTATATATTTAAAATATTTATGAAATATATTTAAATATTTGATTTTTGGATCCAGTCCGGTTCCGAACACAAACCCCGACTCAACATGTTGCCACTCCTATAGAGCTGGCACCGAGTTGGGCTCGAGCTAGGCTACCCTTAGCCTAAGCTTGCCCAGCCTAAACTAGGGCAATGGGGCCCCGGCCCCAACCAAATTGGGCCAGGCAGGATAGGACATGGCCGAATACATTCTTTTAAAAAAAGTTAAAAACTAATTGGAAAAACCAGAATAGGCAAGCCGGCCATGGTCCTGGCCCAAGCTTGTCTCGGCCCTTGTGGCCCAAGACCTTGTTTTATGGGGCTGAGGTGAACCGGTAGGGCTTCGCCACACAGGCCTTTGCCAGCTCAACCGCTATTGGTAGTATTTTGTTGATAACCAAGATCATGTTATTAAAATTATGGCAGTGAATAATGACGTATCAAGTTGGCACACCACTTCTTCAAGCACAAATAGAAAGGAATTTATTCCCACACTTGAAAAAGTGGCCATCCAAACATGGCCTATACTTCCCTTAATTTTTTGGGGTGTGTTTGTATAAGGCGGAGGCCCTAAACAATCAAAGTAATGTGCATCTTCAAATAGTGTCAAAAGTTGTTTTGGTACTAGAAATGTTTGTGATGGCTTGAAAATTTATTTTTATATTTAATCATAAAATTTAAAGCTCTAAAAATACTGTAGATCGAAAATATCTATGAACACTTGAAAATCTTAAAAATTGACGGTCTAGAAAATGCATTACAACATGCATATTTCCAAGAGTTGAAATCTATTTTTTCTCATGTCCATACATCTTGATGTCGAGATGATCGATTTCAGAATTTTTGGGCATTGAAACAACCTCTCCTAATGAATTTTTTGGGTACACCTTAATTCCCTTATATAAACTTTTTTCTGTCTTTTTACATAAGGCCATAAGGTTGGAAAAAGTATACAATGAGATAATTTACTTTTAAAACTAGATAATCACAATTAATCTTGACCATTGAATGTAAAATTACATGGCTTTATTTATTCTTTTAATGAAGTTCAAATTCAAAATATAATTTTTTGAACTTTGTGACACACATACTATCTGATTTCACATTAGATGGTTATAACTTATTTGTAACAAAGATAAATAATCTCACTAGTGTCAACGTGAGTGATACTTAACCGTATGGAAAAGAAGGCACGATTATCATACGAAACACATAGCAATCAAACAGAAATGGTGACGATAACCATCCAAAAGTTTAAAAATAAAGCAAAACGGAGGCAAAAAAATGACAAAATCACCCCATATAAAAGCATGGGAAAGGGAATTTAAAGGGCCGTTACTTGGCAAAATTGTTCCATAGGATTCCTTTTTCAACTGTTTCGAACAGATAGTAGTGCGAAATGAGAAAAAGAGTGTATGAAGATAGAAAGGAGGAAGGTGGTGGTGCTTTACCCTTTTCAAGGGTTTCCTACATTGGGGGAAAAAGCATTCACATAGAGAGAGGTATGATACTAGGGGAATACATCCCAATAATAAGAGAGAGAGGTATGGTAATAGTTGGGGTGGCAATGGATCCGGACTCGACCTAGGGATCCTACGGATATACTCGACAAGGGTTCAGGTATGGGTCTAAAACTTGGACCCGAACACTATTCGGGTTTGGGTCCGGGTCCGGTTGGACCTGACCCATATCCGTAAACTATTGGAGATAAAATACTTCAAGCCCTATTCATTTGGGTATATTAAGGATCAAATACAATAAGAATTCGTAGTCATCTTTAGCTATTAAGCGACAAATTAGATGACTTGAAATCTAATGGTAGGTGATTGTGACTTTGTTGCCAATAATATGAGTATATGATAGTTAAAAAAGAACACAAAAAAAAAAAAAAAGGCTCAAAGTGATGGTGGCAATGGACCCAATCTGGGACCCAACGGGTACCGGTATGAGTCCAACTTTTGGAATGAAATACATTCGGGTATGGGTCCGGTCCAGCCAGATCGAACAGTACCCGACCTGTTGCCACCTAGGTAATAGGTAAACACATCCTAATGATGTTAGAGAGAGAGAGGGGTATGGTAATGGGTAAATAAATCCCAATAATCGTAGATAAAGAAAGAGAGTAGAGAGAGTCGATAGAGAAAGAGAGGTGTCGTAACAGGGGAGTATATCCGATGGGGTTTCTATAAAGCCTAGGCTTTATGAAAAAAAAAAAAAAGTTTCATCTCAAATCTTTGTTCGGAAAGCACTTTCAGCAAAAGAAATCTCTATTATGGCTTTAAAATCAATTTCCAACACCAACAATAAAATTCGAAACTAAAAAAATAGTGCAGATCTTGCGGATTTGTGAACGCTTATTTTTAGGGCAAAATAGACTGTCTAGAAATTTTTTTACAATATACACTATTTTTAGAGATTAAAATCCTCTTTTTTTTTCCACAATCATAATGTTCAAACCAAGATGATTGATGAAAAGGTTTTCTAATGCTTTAATTCTAATTTTCAATGAATTATGAGACGAAGATTTATTTATTTTTGTGTAATTCAGTGGGAAAGACAAACCCCTCCCTTTTTTTTCAAGTAGATTAGGAGTTAGCTTTTTTGAAGGTGTTAGATGAAAGAAAGACCTATGTAATCTTTTGCTTGGGAAATACAATTTTTTTTTTTCTAAATAATAATCACCCCTTATAATTTTGGCAACAAGATCACTTGCAGATGATATTTTTATAAATAATAGAAATTCCAAAAATTAAATAACACATCAATAAAATAAATCTCAACTACTTGATGTCAATCATATAACCTAATACTATGCTTGATAATATAAAATAAAAAAACAAACAATTAAAAGAAAAGATGCTGGAGATTACCTTAACCGGGCTTTTTACACCCCACACCGAGTCACTACATCTAATGGTGTGGGATCAGCGGTCTAGCTTTAATCTCGAACCGAAAAAGCTAGTTTCGGCCAAACTAGGTAACCACCTTTAAATCTCTATAAAACCATAACTTCAAAATAATAAGGCTCAAACCCTAATTTTCTCGAACCTTAGATTAGATCTTGAGAGAGAGAGAATCTCTATGTTGGGGCGTGCACCGTAGGGTCTTGTTAGGAGAGAGAGAGTAGAGAGAGAAAATAAGAGAGTAGAGAGAGAGGGGCGTGGCCCCTAAGAGAGAGAGAGTTTATGGGAGAGAGAGGTATGTAAAGATGGGGGAGAGCACCCTATTATAGTGAATTTTAGGT